TGGAAAAAAAATAAGGCTTGAAGTCAATTTTCACACATAACTTTGTTGTGTGCAGAATCCTTGAATTATAGTTCATTGATGTGTTATTTTGAAATCAGTGATACGTTTATCTCATTTGATCTGCAATGTCATTGTTGGGAGTAAATACATAAGCTTCAGACGCATTAATTAATGGATTTCTACAGCTTGTGGGTATTTTCTTAGCGTGAGGAAGGTTTATGAATTTCAGCTGTGAGGCAGAATATAACCAGGTACCGAACAGCACCGTTAAGGAGATACGCAACTTGGGTTACATTGAAATCACTGTAGCTGAGAACTTCAACGCTACATCCCCAGATCAAAATTCAAAGTTTGGTCATGAAAGATTCGCTCAAAATCCACTAAACACCATACGAAATACAGGATCGACTGAGAACTTGGGGAATGTCATAATGCGGGCCACTGTAAAAAGTAGTCGGAACTGGATTCTATTCCAACGAGTGACCACTCACTGGCAGAAAACGCTCAGATTAAGACCCCTCTTAGAAGCAGTGGCCATGTGATCATTGTTTGCAAGAGCTTACAGTGGGGTGCTACGCAACCCTCTCTGTGCTATAACAAAGCCAAATACAAAAAATGAGAAAACTTTTGTCTGAATAAGAATGAGCTACCGAGTGACACGGACTATCAAAAGAGAAATGCTGGGAGATAGTGAAACGCATCATTCACACAGTGACCTCAAATATCGTCTTTTGAGCCACACCCTAGTCTCCTTGGAAAGTATTACTTTTAGTTAGAGAATGGCATGCAGTGTGCTGTGTAGGCCGCGAGAAATCTCGGTGTGCGTGACATCTCACCAGGAGTCATAATGACTTGGAGGGTGGTCTTTTGCAACATCAGCACGTGACCCAGGTCTTGCCCCGGAGGCAAAACCTAATAAAAGAGTCGTTTGCCCCAGTAATTTTGCGACCGCATACTCCGTTACACACTTCACGCATAGATAGGTGTGCTCACTATCGAGCCTTATCTAAGACAATATAAAACATATGTAGTGCATTTTGTAGTTCATAATGCCACTGTTCCCCCAACAGCTCAGAACAGACGCCAATCCTATGGAGCGGTGTCAGAGAATGGATAGACCATATTTGGCTACTGCCGGCATATGGGGGATTTAATCACTGTTTTTAAGATCACAACTGATTTTAACATTAGGCTAGGTATTATGCCAACAAGTCATTGGTGACTCAACTTACTTCGCTTTGAGTTTGCCGCATCTATAAGTCTTTAACAGTAGCTGCGGTTACTGCACCCTCAGTGAGGCGATTCAAGTGGAGATCCAACGAACTATCCCGCCGAGACCCACTCACCTAAATCTAATAATGAGTACCATCTGAACTCGTCTTTTTCCCCCGCCCCGACTCCTTGGTCCCACTTTTCTGATTTTTCATGTTTTATTTGTTTTTATATATCATAGCAAAACTTCAAACAGAAATTTTATATATCATTATGTTTATTTGTCTGTTCGTTTTTCCTTATAACATACATTATTTTCCCTATTAATGTTATTATCATCTTTTGTTTTCAGACACAGGACGGCTAAAGGGGAAAAGGACCAATTGTATTCACAGCGGTAGTAAGGACTTAACACACCACACGTTGCAGACCATATAGAACCAATTTCTGCACCACTTCCTTAGGGGTTAACCAAATCTATGGCAGGCAAGTGGTCACAAAAGTAAGGGACCATCAACCTAACAACCAAGAAGCTAGCCCAAAGAAATCAATTAGGCTTAAATTAGCTCGTAGAAAGACCGATATATATTAATCACTGGAAGATTATGGCATATTTATTGTTATTTGTCATCTAAACCATACATTTCTTATAGAAACGACACATCATTTGGAAAACATTCCTTATATCCGAAGAAAAAGCCTAGGCGGACCGACAGTAAAAATAGTAAAGCTTTGTCTCAGACAATTTGTGAACATATTTTTCAGAAATTTTCAGCGTATTCAGTTTCTAAAATATTTCCTCTCCATATAGAATTGACATTTACAGCGATAATCTGAGGCACATCATTTGTAGTAGACCTCTGCATGTGAGGAGAGAAACAATTGCGTACATTTTTTCAACTATTTCGAAAATTCCATAGTGTATATTGGAAAACGAATTATATGTAAACGCGAGTTCATGTAACAACTACCTGATATAACTGCACGATTGAAACAATAAGTGCAGAAGAGTTTAATCATTTCGATGGTATCCTGGTAATTTAAGTAGGCCGCCGGACTTATTTAGGGGTCAGCAGATACTACTTTCTAGTAATTAGCACTTTCAACCAATATAATACGGAGACATATGCTATACTTCAAATGACTGAAATATAAACTAAGTCACACACACACAAAGCTCATGAAAATGCATCTCCACTCAGAGACACTTCGAAACATTTAAAAGACGAAGATCATCGTTGTCTCGTGGATTTATAACAATAACTTCATTCCGAATAGTACTTTTGGTACAAATAAAAAATTTTCAGCATACAACACAACATTGCATCGAATTTTCTCATTACAGGGGCAGTAATCAAAATACGACACTTACATTAATAATATCGTTCAATAAGAAATGAGCATAAAATTAAATCAAGTGAAAATATTAGCGACAGTGTGATAATGAGGACAAAGAAGATGCTTTCCACTTAGAGATTCTCAGTAAGTTGGTAACTTTCTGTCTTACACTATCCTCATCGTATAAAATGTGTGCTAAACAAGGTATAGTGGAGTTTTGTACTTAGTCATCCGAGGATACAGTCTTCTAAAGTTGCTTCTAGTTCCCCTACCTGACGGGATGCCAGGAGACCGTTGTGTATGAAGAGGATGTTCAGAGTCTGATAAGATAATATCTAATAGTTTCTTGGAGGATTCCAAGTATCGATCTACAATAGAATTAACAAGTTGACTTAGCAACATCTCACTCTCCCAGCTGACGGCTTCTAGCGACCTACGCAGTATAACAAAGTCTATCTTCAGTAGCCCAGGAAAGATTAAGGGACGGCGGCAAAGAAAGATAGGTTGAATACAAGAATTAACATACGGTAGCAGTGAAATAAATTATAACTACATTCCAATAGTTTACACACAATGGTAAGTTTTTGTTTTTCGTTAACAGTAAAGACGGAATGATGCCAGATCGTCTCAAATTCCTTACATAGAATGTCAAACGAAATATCTTTCTGGATACTAAAATGATATGGGAAGACTAGCTTGGATTCTGTGCTTCTTCTGATAAATTCTAGTTAACTTTCGATTTGGTTTCAACTTCAGTGGCATCTATTATAGTGGAACCGTGCTAACTAACCAGTTCATGTAAGTCACGTTTGCGTCTGGTAGCGAAATCAACCATCTGACATTTGGAGAGATTAAGCTTAAGACAATTTGACTAGGACCACTGACTAATTCCTGATATAGAGTTATTCATTCTGGAACAGTTTGACTTAGAAGTACCAGGCATAGAAACAGCCAGATCATTGTCTTACTTAATAAATTTGGCTTCGTCAGAATGGGGCAAGTCATGTAAGAAGAAGGAAAACAGAAAGGAGAAAGAACAATTCCTTGAGGAACACCAGCTAGAGTTAGTGAGGCAGTGGAGAAATTCTCACTATAAACAGTGTACTCCCTCCTATCAGAAATATAGGAGTACAACGACCCGGGAGTCCAACAATGTATTTGTGACGCGGCAAGCTCGTTTAACAAAAGACCTAGGTATAGGGTCGAAGGAAGAACATATTTGGCACCTGTATCAAAACTAGAGACAATGTTATGATAAAAGACGTCAGTAGCTTCCGAAGTAAACCTACTATGTTTATGAGCAAATTCATTAGCGTCCTTCCATAATTTCAAACAAGGTGAAGTAATGGCGATATGTCTGAACTTAGCAGTTGGGCCACTTGAAGATTTAGGTACAGGCACAATTTTAATGTCCTTCCGAGAAACAGGCACAGTGTTACTGGAAAATAATTTATTGAAAATACCAATGAGGGGATGATATAAAATGTCGGTACATTCATTGAGGATCAAAACTGGCACATCATCCGGAACAAGGTACTGGATAGGTTTCAGGGATTTGAGACACCTGAAGACATCGTTTGAGTTAAAACCAGAGAAGCGGTCATTGTCTGCACTCTCAGCACTTGAAATCATTACATCGTATACACACTAATTCACTATCGTTTGTGTAAAGTTTCATCCACAGTATTTTTAATCTTATTCAAGTTATTTACACCTAAATTACATAGGTAAAACAACTATCTAACACCCGTCTGCGTCATTTTTCCCAGACGCTGGCTAGCTGCACCTTAGTGATGCACCTTCCTTATGATAAGAGGATGGAGCATTTAAATCTCTTTCCGTTATCATACCGAAGGAAGAGAGGCGACTTAATTTTAGCATACTGTATACTTAAGGGTGATTTAGGAACTGACCTTTCTAAACTTTTCTCTCCTTCTAGGATACATTTACGGGGTCACCGCAAAAAGGTGCTCAAACCGAGGACGATTAAAATACGTGCAGAATTTAGATTCTCTCACAGAGTGGTCAACGACTGGAACTCCTTGCCTGATTCAGTAGTAACAGCTCCATCGGTGAACGCTTTCAAAGAGAAGTTAGATCTCTGCAGAGATATATTTTGCAAGGATTAACACAGGCCACAAGAGCCTTCTATCCTTATCAACTGAATCTGCATCTGAAGCCCAGTTTCACACACTCCAATGTTTGCAGCCAGCAAATATGAATCTCAGGAGATGAATTTGGCCTGATTTTTCTTCTCATCTTTTCATAAGTCAAACAGACTTGGAGGAGTTCAGAAGTCAGTGAAAAGTCTCTTGCTGTGGAATTCTGCTTTTCGCATGGAGTCACAGCCATGAAAATGACTACCAGAAGTTTCCGTAGCTTCTACAAACTCGCTTAAGAGGCGAAAGCAAGTGAATATACCCAATGGAAAATCATATATGTTATACACCATCATGTGTTCACCAAAAATCCGAACCTTGTTTTAATAAGTGCTTGTTTAGAGACGCAGTTCCAAAATTCAAAGACACGTTGGTCCCGCATTTTCGCTCAATCGTCATGTCTATACGCCGTTTCACTACATTTTTGTCTTCTGCAACTTCATGGGTGTATCGACAGACATACTTGTGTACTCTCAATCGGTTCAGATGTCCACACAAAATCGTATCAAGAAACTTTTCACTTAAGACTGAGGGGATCCATAAAAATGGTATTGAAAATAACCAGGATCATCAGCCCCGTACAAAATTTGTTGTGGCACACGACGAATTACATTCAAGTATTGTTGAAGGCAACGTGCAGTTGTTTGACGTCAGGAACTTGAGTGATGTCGAGTCCACGGGCAGTATCCCAGGTTCTGTCAATATACCTCGTACGTCAATTTTGCATTCTAACTCCTTTTAAGTTGTGGAATTAAAAAAAGCCCTTAGTCTAAGCGATGATGAGTTCGCCCATAGGTTTGGTGTGTCAAAACCGAGATTGGATGATGGTAACATTGTATTTTATGGATTATCAGATGTATCAGCTGCTAGTGCCTGTGAAATAGCACATAATCTTGGATTTAAACAGTAAGTCAGCTCTCACATAATGTCATGTTTTCAGGGCGAAATATTACCCCAAAGGTTGGACAGAGTGGTCACTGATGCACAATAATAAATGAAATCTACAGTGGCTCCTGTTTGTAAATAAGAAGCCTACAACAATGAAATTTATTTGCTTGTATCAAAGTAAATTCTTGACTTTAGTGAGTTATAACATTTCAACTGGGAAGCCTTAATGCACTAATGTATTATACCCTGTAAATTATGCTGCAAGCATTTTCTTTTGTTGTATCTTATTTCATTTATTCACTTTATCTGACGTTGGAGTAGAAACACGTCCCATTAGTCACTCATAGTACATATAGGAGTGTCTTCAGATAAATCCACCTGTTTAGTTGCCAACCAGAACTAACGGTGTGCCTTAAAGTTTTGTACACTCTCTGTAAAGAATTAAACTATTTGAACTGCTTTCAATTTTTCAATGCAGGTTATGTTTAGTCTCGGGGCGTTTTTGTGCAGACGGAAATACAAGTGATGTAAGTTTGTCTTAGGTTTTCCGGGCACAACAATTTTCGTCGAGAACTAGCATTTAATTGAAGTCTTCTCATCTGAGATACCTGGTCATCAATGCTTATGGGACTTCATGTCGTGTCACGCTTATTCATGACTCAAGCACCTGGCTAAGGTAGGCAGTGTAAATATAGTGGCAAACACGAGTCTCTTTGATGTCTTTATATGTTGATCTCCTTGACTGAAAGGTTTCATTCTACACTGACAACTATAGCTGGTTTGGTACCGTTTAAATCAGTATACGTTAACTAAGGTAATTGTTAAAGGAAACTCCATGAGCTAAAACAGGCTAAATCACTTGGTCCACACGACTAACCACCGAATATCTTTTAAAGGTCATTGAGTTTGTTTGGGGAAAAAAGAATGCCTCACAAATGATGCCATCATCGTACCTAACTCAAAAAATGGTCTACCTTATACACGTGACAGTCATATGGATGTAATTTTGTTAACTGTCGCGTCTCATACATTGTCTGCTGCCGTCCTTCACGGGCTGGGTTTCGTTCAGGTCGTGGATGCACTTACCATGCGTTCATTCTTCGTCAGTCTCCAGGACATTGTTGGTTAAAAGTCGTATTTCTTCATATTAGGGCAACCCTGGATATGAACAAAATCACCCTTTGGAATTGCTAGAGTTGGGTTTTCTTGAAAATTTTGTTAACATCCTGAGATCCACTATTAATATATGTGTAAAACTTAGGCACTGTGGTAGTAAGTAATTCCATATTAGTTTGTTTATTAGGTATATCACACAGTGAAACAGTATTATTTACTGGATGACGTTTCGAACAAAATTTATTGTTCATAATCATATCAGTTGTGATCACACGACTTTGACACTTGAGTTTTATAGCTTTCTTTCTTTCTGAGATCCACATATAGAAACATATCGGTTAAAGTGAGAGCACACAACCAGCTGTCACCACATATCTCAACCTACAGTGAGGTTGTACAATCGTTTAATTCTCGTTATCTTTGTTAGTGATCGAATTCTGTAGACAACTCTAAAGGATGCGCGCGTTGGGTGTGTGCAGACGACATCGCGTGCCAAAGGCTATCCAAATCACTTTACCATTTGGCGATCACTATCAAAACATGGTAAATACTTCGCTTCGACTAAGTGCAAAGTAATGTTCCTAGATTGACAGGAACCTGTATCTGTACTCACACTCGCATATGAGCCGTTAGAAGTTGGTAGGTTCGTGTATTTAGATAGCTGAGTTGTTACTGTAGGTGTGACAGAAGTAAACCCGGGCAGTATACGGTAATGTGGACACCTGGCACAGTCAAATGTCAAGCCCACTATGGTTCAGTGCTCACAGTCGTGCTCCATGTCCATGAAATTCGACTTCCCTGATCTGTGGCTGTGCAGCGACTCCGTGAGGTTGGTCGTCATTTCATCTGGTGGATCCATTTAAATAATTCATGGACTGGAGGAGTGTTTGAACAGAGTGGAGATTGCCTTTAACTATGTGTTGTCAAGTGAGACGGACTCAGTGACTACGATTATCATTTCTGCAGCCTTCGTACGGTTCACTTTTTGCTAGCCCAGGAACTGGGTGGTGGAAGAGGTGTGACCAGCTCATGACGTGGCGTCGTAGGATGGTGGGTAGTTGTGTTTTGCTAGCGTCACGATTCCCTGGGCGGGGTCGGAGAAGAAATCTTCTTCAGTACTCGGAGACACCAGGTTGGTTAAGATTCATAGTCAGTGAAGAACATGCTGCATCTCCCCCTTCCTAAAAGTAATATTGAGCAATAAACGTTATGTTAAACGCTGTTGATATATATTCTCGCATGCTTTCATGATGCCATCCCTCCTTTTTATTTTTCCGTATGATGTGTTTTTGAATGGCACATCTTTTGGTATCCAAGTTTAAATAAATAGATAGCCTACATACTATTAGGTGCTTGAGAGACAACTCATCAAGTAATATATATATATATATATATATATTGACATGTTAAAGTAAGTGGATTTAGCTTTTTAAAGCTGCGTAACGCATTAAGCACGAAGGTATATTTAGATTTTAAATTACTATATTCTTTTGTTTTTTATTTCCAACTGAGTGTGCTGTACATATGCATTTATTATGACTCAGAGTCCCAAGTTGAAATTAAAATCGGCATCTTTATCAGTTTCTTTCGCTACACCTAGGAATAGTGAACTGGATAATTTAGTACTACAGAAGAGTGATCTGGAATTCATGAGATAAAATAACTGAATAACAAAAAAAGTTAGTCTTCCATATATTACGTGGAAATTATCATAATGAAAACCGACTATACTAACTGAAAGCTTATCCTTAGGGTATAATTGGAACAGTGCAGAAGTTTTCTTTCTTAATTCTTCTCTACATTCCGGACATTTGCATCTCGAATTCATAGATGAAAAGAACATTTGTCATTTTTGAAAATTCGCTTGCTGTGAATGCATTAGCTTCCCATTAGTGGTTGTCATAGCATTTTATTGAATATGGAAAATATCATAGTACTGGCTGAGACTGAAGCAGCTATTGGTAAAGTAAAATCATTATGATAAAAGCATGTCTGCCAGTGATTCGCAGTTACAGCTGTGTCGTGCAAATTACTATAGGCTCTCGCGCTAAAACTTAGCAGTTGTAAGATCCATTACTTTGCAACGACATTGAAAAGGAGGAATAAACCGGAATTATAGGGTTACATAATCATCAAATCTAAAAGAGTAGTAAAAGTGAATATATCACTTCATGAACTGTGCTGAGCCGCTTATTCCATATTAGTTTGTTTATTAGGTATATCACACAGTGAAACAGTATTATTTACTGGATGACGTTTCGAACAAAATTTATTGTTCATAATCATATCAGTTGTGATCACACGACTTTGACACTTGAGTTTTATAGCTTTCTTTGTTTTCTCCAATTTGTCGTAGGGGGAGTAGAATTTTCCAGATATCGGGGACAGGTGATGAATCATTCCTATTACATGTATTTGCAGTTGATTCAATAAACAAAGCTTCTGTTATCAATCTCTCCCTCCCTATACCCTGTGACATTAGATTTTAAAACTGTCATCCTATCCCATCCTATTGTATGGTTGTGTGTGACTGCATGTAGAGCCGCTTAGTCGATAGTGATAAACTACAGACTCATATTAATAGAGGGACTGGATCCGCGATATAACTACCTGTATAGTACAGAACAACACTAGTGCCACTTCAATCCGATCACCTCACTGTTATTTTTACAACCTAACAGTGTTGCAGATAGCAAAGATGTCTAAGGAAGAAGGTGGCTTGGTGTGAGTAACACATGTTTCTACCATCTCAGTCGATTGATTTACGTAGAATTGTACTTACATTGTTCACTATGTAGATTCACTCCACATGAACAAATAAATGTGCTGAAAGAATCTCGTAATCGTCCTCTATTGTTTTAATGGTCAGTGACTATTTGTCAAACGTAAGCTGGAATAAGATTGCCTAATTCGCTACTGTATAGTGCATGCTTTACAACTTGCGTACGTAATCGAGTCGTTTGTACTTTGTTACGACACTCAAATCGGTAGTCAATAAGTTAGCTCTTGTTTTTGTTGCCGTTTAATCTTCTTCAGTCTAATATATTTCTTAATTTTTAGTTTTGATAGATGAAATCAACACTTGCATATATTTAATGTGTTCTTATTTCCACGTGATATAAGTGTGCTTCTAGGTGGGGATATATACACTGAGTTGGTGACAAGTGTCATTTTATTATTATTATTATTGTTCCCTTGGGTTTCAAGTGGAACGCAGGGCTTCAACAACACATCTCCACTTTTGTTTTCTGCCATCCCCTTCAGCTGCGTCCACTATTTCCCATTCTATCTCATTTCTTCCTCACACGATCTACTCCATGTCATCCTAGGGCGACCCACTCGTCGCTTCCCATCGGGATTCCACTCCAGCGATGGCCTGGCGCGCGATGTCATTTGACGATTCCCTCAATGTATGCCCGATCCATCTCCATTTTCTCCTACACATTTCTCGAGTGTTCGGCTCTTGGTTGGTTTTTTCATCGCCAGAGTTCCTTGTTACTAATTCTTCCTGGCCTGTTGGCCATTTGATCTTCAGTATGGAGCCAGTGAAGTGGGCAACTGTTGATAAAAGTCTGCAACCTGTTTGAAGTCCTCTCATGACATGCTCGCCAAGTTTCTGACTCGTATAGAAGGAATGACGACATTGGTGTTGATTTTGATATGGTTGTGTTCTCTGAGGTGAAAAGTTAATTTGCGAAGCTTTTATCGCCCTACTAGGCGACATCTTCAGCGCATACTTCAATTTGAAGTGTCGAAAATGCGAATCTTGTTCCTTATGCTGAGTCAGTGCAGAAGATTTCCAAACTGGTTTCAAGTTGTTGAAGGAGTATCTTGCCTTTCCGACTCTGGCCAGCTTTGACATCTTCATCCGTTCCGACTGCCTGTAGTTGAAACGATGCTTCCTAGCCAGATAAGTGGAGTTAACCTTTCTCAAATCTCTCCAGTTGATGATGTTTGGTGCTGGTTGTTGTTGTTGCGGTTGGTTGGTTATATTCATCACCTCCGTCTTCTCTATGTTCACCTGCAATCCTGAATTCACTGCCAGCCTCTTCTGCTAGTTTGTTGGTCTTCGCCTTTAAGTCTTCGAGTTTGTAATACATTGGACATATATCGTCTGAGAAATCCAGATCTTCTCATCAGTCATCCAGCGTATTCCTGTCTCCTAACTCCTTGTGCACAGTCTAACGCATAATCCAGTCCACTATAATTAAGAATATCATCGGTGATAATATGCAACCTTGTCTTACTCCTGTATGTACTTCGAACGCCTCGATGAGTTTCCCGTTGTGGATCACCTGACACGTGACATTGTCATATAGCCAACTGTTGAATGAGGATGATAAAGACTTGGGCACTGCACGCCGTAGTGTAGAACTGGTATCCAAATTATTTCTCAGTCAACTCTAATTTTTTTAAATTATAGCTTGATTCCGCAGCTTATTTATGGTACAAGTAGGGAATTTTCAGCATGTGATATAGGTAGCCCAAATTTTGCAGGCCGACCATTGGTATCGGGTGTGCGTCGGCAGGGGATTGAACCCCGGACCATGTGCATGGGCGGCGAGAGTCCTAACCGCTGTGCCACCGACGCACGCTATCGAAGGCCTTTTCGAAGTCGATGAAGTTCAGGTAGAAGTTTGACTGCCACTCTATGCTTTGTTCGATGACGATACGTTCAGCTGTAATTTGATCAGCACATGATTTGCCTTTCTTGAATCCAGGCTGACGGAGTTCTGCATCTTTTATTCTCTCCAGGGTGATGCGACTTAGTATTTTACTTGGCGTGGGCAACAGCACGATTCTGAGCCAGTTCTTGCACAGGCCCAAGTCGCCCTTCTTTGGCAGCTTGACGAGGTAGTCAGCCTTTCTTCCAATCGGTAAGTGCCTTTCCTTCTCTCCAAACCTTAAGCAATAATGACATGAGCACATCTGCCGCAGTCTCTGGATACGTTTTTAGTGCTTCGGGCTGGGGGAATTCCGTTGGATCCTGCTGCCTTCCCCACCGGTATTCAGTAGCTTGACCGCATTTAGGATTTCTGCCTTCGTTGGTGGAGTGGTGTCCAGTAGCAGGCATTTCTGTGCGTGCTTTTGGTGACAGTGGCATATTTGGGCGAGTTGTAGGCGATGGTCGATTCAAGAGTCCTTGAAAGTGACCAGCCCATTGTTTTATTTGTTTCTCCTCCGTGGTAATCAGGTTCCCTTGAGCATCTTTTATTGGTTTCATCATCTGGGTTGATTTCTTCCCGGATTGAGACCTGGTTATCTGATATAATGTCCTGAGGTCTCTCGTACCTGCAGCCTACGTGTTCTGCTTCAGTCACTGACCAGTGTGTCGTAGAATTGTCTTTTGTCTTTCCTAGCGCTCTTCTTTATTCAGTGCAGTGTACATTGAACTCAGCTTCTCCTTCTCTTGCCTATCTTTGCATTGAGTCATCTTCTTTTTCAGCATCCTACTCTCCTCGATTAGCTTCCAGGTATCCGTTGAGAGCCATGCCTTGTCTTGTCTCTTATTTCTTCCTAGAACAGTTGCACACGTTTCCTTGAATATCGCCTTCAGGGAGTCCCAGTGTTCTTCCACGCAGGTTTCCTCAGTGATACCATGTAGAGTCTCCGACTTTGCTCTGATATGATCTGTGGTGAAGGCATCCCTTGTAGTTTTTCCTTCAGCTTTTAAATGTTGAACTTGAATTGCAGTGGCCTGTCTCCAGTTGCTTCGAGAGATTTCAGCTTCACCCCAAGTGTTCCTTGAACTAGATGATATTCTAAGCCTACATCTGCTCCCCCTTCTCTACTTTCTATCATGCGGGCTGCGTCTCCACTTTCTTGAGCAGCATTGAGATGAAATCTATCTGGTTCGTGGTGTTTCCGTAAGGCAAAATTCATGTTGCTTTGTATATCCTTGTGTTTGTACACGCTGCCTCCGATCACCAAATCATTGAAAGCGCGAAAGTCTCCGAATAATTCTCTATTCTCGTTCACTTCTTCGAGCGCCAGCCTCTCGATCCACGGTGAGTTCTCTTCCTGTATTATTAACTACTCCCAGTTCGACTTGAATTCATATCAGCCATAAGGATTTTGATGTCACCATTTGGGACGTTGTCCATTAATGTTTATAGTTGTCTGTAAAAATTTTCCTTCTTCTCTTGTTCAGTGTTGTTTGTAGCACTGTGCGAAGCATCGGATAATTGTGATCTTCCTTCCTTTTGAGATTGGTTCCCACTGCATTAGGGCTTTGGCTGCCATTGGTTAAATCATGATAGCCACTCAGTGTGTTCGTGGTTGTCGTCTGGGTGACCGAACAAGTGTCATAATTATCCTCAAGCTGTACAATCGTATATACATAGTTAATTTCCTTAGCAACAAAGTGAATATTTTCCAAAGATGTGTCATCAGAATTGTAAATTTCAGGTAACAAATTACGTATTATCGAAAGCGGTAATCGGGTAGAAACTAAAATGAAATTAAATAAGTAAGTTGAATGACGTCATCCATGAAATCTAAACCACTTAAACCTCCCTTACTTTTATCTACAATTCAATGGAGACTTTTCGGTAGAAATACTGAGAAACCGTCAGTCCCGCTCGCTAAAGAAAACCTTCGCTGTTGAAGTCCGACTAACTTTTTCTACGAAACCAATGATTCTCATGAACCTGAAGGATAAGCTACAAATGTTGGCCGGCCTTATCAATGTGCATCTACCAATTCACCTACTTGTTTGGAGCTGGGTATGTTGGCGGCACCTGGTGTTTGCTTTCCAAACGTATCATCGAACATTTTCCATCATGGTTTTATAAAGGAGAAAATAGATCCCCCACGAAGCTCTATTCTGCAACATCTGGTCGAGTCTGGACACAAAGTTAACCCACAAAGTAACTTCAAAGCTATCTACAAAGTACTAGGGAATCTCACTCAAAGAGCACAAATCAAACTTCTTCGAACCGCAAAAGCAATGGCAATTCACATTTTAAAATCGGAACTCTTCATACAGAAGAAGTTTGTTCAGTCATTAAATCTACAATGGATCTGATTTTCCTTAACATCAAATAGGTAGTTTTTGTTTTATAAGAGTGTTATTTTCTTCCTCACCCCCTATTAAATCTCTACCCATTATTACCACTGTTGTTAACTTAACTTTTGTTTAATTTTAATTTTAGTTGCATTCTACTCAACCCCGTCAATTATATAACGTCACTCAACTAACTTATTGAATTTCATTTCAGTTTCTCCCCGATTAACGCCTTCTGCATTACTTAATTTGTTATCTGAAATTTACAATTCTCATGACACATCTTTGGAAATATTCGCTTTGTTACTTGAACAGTTTACTATGTATTATGGGATTGTGCAGCTTAAGAATGATATCGCAGAAAAGAGTAACTTATGGCCGAACACCTTTTCTTTCATATGACTCAATCGGGATTTTGAGGTTACATAATTATCCTTTTCAGTCCAACCGTAAAGGAAGTGCTTTCAACTAGATACATTTCTAGATTTGTGAAATTCAATCAGCACGTGTGTTCAAACCTCTTACAACATTACAGGAAAGGCAGGAAAAGACAAGAATTTAGACACACTAGTTTCTTATACTTAGAAACCTATAATTTCTTGTGATTGCTGTTTTTTGACAGTTAACTTGTCAGTCAAATGTGTGTGGTAGGGACACAGGGTTATATTCCTATTTATCATGTTTGAACTGGAGTTTGCAGTAAAGAGATATGTATCTTCAGTAAGTTTATTATCAAGCTGTTCAGTCGCATGTATATTTGTTGCATATTGAGTAAATTGCTCTGGAATGGCTTCGTCACTAAACATATTCAATTGGATGCTGTCTGAGCAGTTGATTGGGATAAGAGTTGGAAACTTTTATTGCATTCACTTCTCTTAACCTCTTCTCTCCTTTTATATTAAATTTGTGGGAGAGCATTTGTTCGCTGCATAAATCATCTGTGTTCGTTGTGAATAAATAAGTATATTTTGTCAAATAACCACGAGATGTTCTCTGTGTCGAGTTTAATGTTTTACTCAGGCATGAAAATGCATACCGGAAAGGTGAGTAAAGCGCGTGTATTTCTTAAATAATTATGCTGATTTTCATATTCCCTTTTGCATTTACATTCAGTATTTGGCTGTATGAGTACTAACTGAGTCAAACCTCATAGGTAATTATGTACGTCAATAACAAACTCCAAATTATTTTCAAGAAATAATTGTTATGACTTAATAATCAACTTCATTCCATTGGATTGGATGAACCATAACATTTAGTCAACTCTTATTCTCTCTAACATATGAATTTCATTTTATTCTAAATTCCTTTTTGTTTATGCGAATTAGTTAAGTTTATTAAAGTGAATGCACGTGATGAGCAGGTCAAGGTCGTGCAGGTTGTTTATCAGTCTGTGTTGGTGTAAGGATTTCAAACTCTCCAACATGACAGTAATAATTCGAAAAATGCAATATATTTTTAAGAGCCATTCTATGCGTCAGTTCGATTAGTTTGGCACAAAGTTATAAAAAGATTTTTTTTTATCAATATAATATAAAAATTTACTAAATACAATATGTAGTCCACACATTTATGATAGAAATTACCCATAATATACGCTGAACTTGTGGACTTGTAACGACTTCATAGGCTTAATGTATGCACAGTCCGACTAGTCTATAATATTTATTTTTGATCAACAGACTTCAAACTTATTCTCAGAGGTAACCTCTTTCCATGAGCTAGATAATAAATACTCT